GCAGAAGCCATAGCTTCTGCAAAGACTTAAAGTCATGAAATTACATGACTTACTATTCCGAGAATAATAAGTAATTTTAGTGCTCCTGTAAATTCTGCAAGACCAAGAATTCATGTTGTATCCTCAGCATTAGAATAATGCCTGGAGCATAGTAAGCACTGAATAATTGTTCGTTGGATGCAAGTTAACAAAGGAAGGAAAGAGTGATGGAGGAAGGAAACATCATTGAGGTGAGAGAGGTAAGAAAGTTTTGGCAATAAAGAAGATTTGTTCATGACCTAGCTGGGAAGAGACAAGTACAAAAACATTCGTAATTGTGAAAAGTGGCATGCCTTGAAAAGTACATAAAACACGTTACGAAGGTTCAGAGGAAACAGAGGTCCACTTGAGATGAATGGATCAGGGAAGTTGTTATTGAGGCCAGACACTTTGAGTTGCTAATACTTGGTTCTGAATTGTTTGACTTTTAAAAAACACATGAGGCCGCCTGCTGTGGCTCACACCTGTAATCCCAGTACTTTGGGAGGCTGAGTTGGGCACATCGATTAAGGTTAGGAGTTTAACAACAGCCTGGCTAACATGGTGAAACACCATCTCTACTAAAATAGAAAAATTGGGCATAGTGGTGCATGCCTGTAATCCCAGCTACTCAAGAGAGGTGGAGGTGGGAGAATTGCCTGAAGCTGGGAGGCGGTGGTTGCAGTGAGCCGAGATCACGCCAATGCACCCTAGCCTGGGCACTCTGTCTAGAAAAATATATGAAGAAATAAAACATGGAAGTGGAGAAAGGTGTTGTGGTGGAAGAGGGATGTGTGAATTTGGGACTAGACTAGACAGCCTTGCTGACTCTGTCATAAATTTATCAGTATTTTGTAGGCAGCCATTTATCAGCCTACACCACTTCCTTGGAAGCAGAACCTGACAGGCTCTGATATTATCTGTAGCAAACATGGTTTTCTTGTTCATGAGGGTGTCTTTATATGTTTGTTTGTGCCTGCACCTGCACACCGGAGATTTGGGGACAGCTCTTTCCACAGAGACAAGACTAAAGGAGACACAGCAACTGAAACACCAGCTAAACTATAAACAGATCTTTTAAAAATGCACCTTTGGTGCCCACACACTGCGTTGTCTATGTGTGCACCTGCAGCACACACAGGCACACAATTCTGAAAGTAGTGACCTGGCCAAGATATTAGTGACTGTAGATAAATAATACTTATTTTTGTTTTTCTCAGCTCCATCCTATCTGGCTATACCTCAATTTTCATTTCAATCTAAGGTTTAGTAGGTGCCAGTTATGTCTCCTTTGACCTGCTAGATGCTATGAGGATTTCATATAAGGAAATGATTCCTTAATATATATTTATTGATTACTAGCTATGTGCCAGGGAATATTTTAAACACCAAGGATGCATCATGGAATAAAAAGAGCCATTCCTTGTTACTTTCTAGAAGGTAGGTGCGGAAAAGTCACAAAAATGTGGTATTGTTGGGGGTGTACATGCTTTCTGGGACCAGTAAAGCAGGGTAAGGGGGAAAGAGAATGGGAACATTGGGGACCAGGAATAGCCTCCCTTCCAGTAATGTCACATTTGAATAAGGACTTGAAAAAAAGAATAAGCAATGGAAATATCTGGGGGACAAGCGTTCCAGGGCCAGGGAACAACTAGACTAAAGACCCTGAGGCAAGAGCCTGTGTGGCAGAGTGTGCAAGGCCACATGGTCAGAGCATAATAGGCAAGGCTGAGGGCAGCAGGAGCTGAGGCAAGGGGATGGGATGAGGCTCAGTCCCATCAGGCCTGTGGGCCATTGTGGGGACTTTGGCTTTACTCTGAGATAACAACCTTTACAGGTTGTATGCGGAGAAGTGGCATGTTCTGATTTACTTCCTGCTTTCTAACTTTGCAGTTGAGGATAGACTTCAGGATGAAGGGGTAGAAGCAGGAAGACTACAAAATGGTGGACTAGGCCAGGTGAGCAACAGTGGAGGTGAGGAGAAGCGAGCTCATTGTTGATATATTCGGAACTGTCTGAACTGACGGGATTTGCTGATGAGTTAGATGTAGAGTATGAAAGGAGTCAACTGTGATATCCAGATTTTTGGTCTGACAACTGGAAGGCCAGAGGTGCTGGTAACTGAGATGGGAGAGACTGCAGGTAGAACAAGTCTGGGAGACATCAGGACCTCAGTTTTGAACACATTAATTTTGAGATACCTGCTAGTGAAGAGTTGGATATACAACTCTAAGGCTAGAGATATAAATTTGGGAATCGCAGCAATTTGATAGTTTTTTAAAGCTGTGAAACTGAATAAAATGACCTAGAGAGTTGGTGTAGAAAAAAAAAAGAAATCTCAGAATTGAGCATTGGGGCATTCTAACATTTGGAGGTCAGGGAGATGAAGAAGAACCAGCACTGGAGATTGAAAAACCAGTACTGGCCCGGTACATAGAAGGAGAATTGAGAGTGCATGCTGAAGCTAGGTGAAGAGAGTGTTTCAAGGAGGAAGAAATAATATACTGTTGTTGGATGTTGCAGAGAGCTCAAGCTAAGGCCCATGAGTTGATTTATCAACAGTAAAGTCTTTGACACCTTCGATGAGCTATTTCAGAGGTGCAGTTGCGGTGTTGGGGGTATGGGGGTAGCCTGGTTAGAATGCCTTCACATAGGAGGGGAGGAAACAAAGATTAGTAGTATAGAATACTCTTTGAAGTGTAACTATAAAGAGAGGTAGAAAAACTGGGCCATAGTTGGTAAAGAATTGTGGGAACAAGTCAAGCTTTTAATTTTTTCTTCTGAGATAGGAGAAGTTGGTGTATTGATGGGAATGATCCTAGTCAGGAGGAAAAATGCAATGATTCTGAAGAAGGGAAGAATTGTTGAAGTGATGTCCCTGCACAGATGGAAAAAGGTTGGCCTTGGTTGGATGGGATGTCTACGCTCTCTAGTAAAAGAGTAGATAGCTACAGGTGCAGGCAGGATGGTAAATGTGGTCCTGAAGCATGTGTAAATTTTCTTTTGATAGTTTATGTTTTCTTATGAAATAAGATATAAAAGAGTGGAGGCAGGGAGGTTTAAAGAGAAAGAAGCTAAGAGATTGTTGCCAAAGAACAGGAGAAAGTATTAACTAGGTAAATATAGTAGGATTGTTGGGCAGCATGAGGGGCCACTTGAAGTAAAAGTGAGACCGGTCAGCATGGTCATATTATTTTCTCCATCTGTGTACAGCTGAGCAGGTCCAGTCAGCAGAGCATTAGACTTAGCTGGAGTTTGCTGGATAAGTAAGGAGAAAGAAGCAAGGGAATGATTAGGATGATGGATCACAGAAACAGAATTGGATAAAGAAAGAAATGAGGACAGAGATGAAAAGTGAGAGTGAAAAGATGGTAGAATTAATGGAGTGTAGATCCCGTGGGGTCTAAAGAATTGTGATAATCAAGTTTCAACTCGAAACTTGTAGTGCTTCAGGGTGTATACAGAGTGCTTTAGGCTTATTTGCATAATAACCCTATGAGGTAGGTAGGGCAGATGGTGGTGGTCGTGGTAGTGATTTTCATTATATAGATGAGGCAGGGTCCAAAGAGGTAAATTACTTAATTGAAAATTACACAGTGCCAGGTGCAGTGGCTCATGCCTGTAATCCCAGCACTTTGGGAAGCTGAAGCAGGCGATCACCTGAGGTCAGGAGTTTGAGACCAGCTTGGCCAACTTGGTGAAACTCTATCTCTACTAAAAATACAAAAGTTAGCCGGGCATGAGGGTGGGTATCTGTAATCCTGGCTACTCAGGAGGCTGAGGCAGGAGAATTGCTTGAACCCAGGTGCGGGATGTTGCAATAAGCCAAGATTGCACCATTGTACTCCAGCCTGGGCAACAGAGCGAAACTAAAAAGAAAAAATCTCAAAAAAAATTCACACAGCAAGTCAGTGGTAAAGCACAAACCGAACCCAGATCTCTGTTATATGTAGAATTTGTGTGGTATCTGCTCACAGATTACTCAGTCTTTTTGAAGAAATGGCATATGGAAGACCACTTGGTAGAATATGTAATCACATGTTCAATTCTATAGTATGGAATGGTAGAAGGAGTTTACTCATTCAGTAATACATATTGAAAGTTCAGTATGTACAAGGCGTTATCATAAGGACTAAAAAAACACCAGTGAACAAGACAGGAAAAAAAATCCTGAAGTTACGTGGTTTAGAGGGGTTTCTCTGGTTCTTCTAAGGCATCATGTTTTGGTTAGAAAACTTGTTTTTCTGCTACGTACTGTGGGTAACATTGTTACTTTAACTCACTCTGCCTTAGTGGGGGTCCCCATGGATAAACTGATTATGGCTTTGCAAGTTTTACTTTGCCTAAAAGTGCTGTGAGTTTGGATCTGTATTCTAGCCTAAAGAAATAGTTGCTCTGAAGTGTCATCATCTAACTTCCTGATCTAAACAGTGGGAATGCCACATCTTATTTTATAATAAATAATAAGACCCTGTTTCCATAGTGAGATGCTGCACAAATATGCATTCTAAGATCATCCTCCATTTTTGAAACTTGGGAAATCTGAAAGGGGGACAGGTCATGTGGCAGCCTGCAGGTCCCACAATCCCCATCTTTAACCTGCTATCTGAGGACCTATTAAAAGCTTTAAGGTCAGGTACAGTGGCTCATACTTACAATCCCAGTGCATTAGGAGGCTGAGTTAGGAGGTCTCTTGAGACTAGGAATTTGAGACCAGCCTAGGCAACATAGCAAGACTTCGTCTCTACAAAAAAATTTTTTAATTAGCTGGGCGTGGTGGTATGCGTCTGTAGTCCCAGCCACCCGAGAGGCTGAGGTAGGAGGATTGCTTGAGCCCAGGAATTCAAGATTACAGTGAGCTTTGATTGTGCCACTGCACTCCAGCCTGGGCAATGGGGCAAGACCCACCTCGAAAAGAAAAAAGTTTTAAAATAACTAATGACTTCTTCCTCCTCTTCTTACTCCTTCCTGATGTGATTTAGGCCTGGAAGAAACGCTGGTTTATCCTACGGAGTGGCCGGATGAGCGGTGACCCAGATGTTCTGGAATACTACAAGAACGATCACTCCAAGAAGCCTTTGCGGATCATCAACCTGAACTTCTGTGAACAGGTAGATGCAGGCCTGACCTTTAACAAGAAGGAGCTGCAGGATAGTTTTGTGTTTGACATCAAGACCAGTGAGCGCACCTTTTACCTCGTGGCTGAGACGGAAGAGGACATGAATAAGTGGGTCCAGAGCATCTGCCAGATCTGTGGCTTCAATCAGGCTGAGGAGAGCACAGGTATGAGAGCACACACAGACCTTTCTCAGAGAGGGCTGAGGTGAGGCCCTTGGATTCCTGGAGCAGAGAGAGCAGCCTTTAGCTAAGGTTTCCTGTTTGGAAGAGGGTTCACAGATAAAGGGTAAAGAGTGTGAAGAGGTTGGCCAAATATTAGAGGGACCCCTGCCCCTAATTATGCTCAAACAGGAAACCAAAAAGTGCTGGGGTTGTGATAAAGCTAAAGGTATTTGTGGTGTTTCCTCAGGTGCCTCAACACCACTGCCATACCTTTGCCCTCCCACTTTCTCCCTTCCCTGTGCTGTCTAGCACTCTGTGTCACCCTCCCATAGGGAAGGTCTCACCTTGATCCCTTCTCTGCTTCATCTCTGTCTGTCCTAGCCCACTTCAGGCCATCCTGCACAGTCTCACCTGACCCTTGTTTGTGTGGGTTCTTCGTAAGATTATTGATGATCCCATGTTCATTTGTATTCAGTTGGGAGGGGATAAAAGGAGGAAATACTGATTTATGTCTGGATTTTGATAACCTTCACAAAAATAGCTTACCTTTTTGAAATGAGTGTTAAATTGTAGAAATGCTCCTTGACATTTGTTTAGGTTCATCCTGAGCTCTCTGGGATGGTTGAAGAGCAGAGTTTTTGCTGGGGCAGGCAGTCTGGTTGCACATTGGAATTAAGGAGGAGCATTGTTAAAAAATATTGACACTGAGGAGCCATGCCAGATCACTGAAGAATCTCTGAGTCCTGGACCCAGCCATTAGTGTCTTTTAAAGGCTTCATTCTGCGTAAGCAGGAATCCAGGGCTCAGCATCCATTTTCTGTAAATATTTTAGGCTTTGAAGGCCACATAAAGTGTCTGTTTCATATTCCTTTTTTTAAAATTTTCTTTATAACCCTTGAAAAATGTAAAAATTCTTAGCTGATCAGCAACATCAGTGTCACCTCGGAAGTTGGTAGAAATGCAGATTTGGGGGTCCCACCCTAGATGTGCTAAATCAGAAACTCTGGGAGTAAAACTCAACAATCTGTTTTTTAAAACCCTCCAAATTATTTTGATACAGGGTTAAGTTTGAGAAGCTCTGTTCTAAACTCTTCCTATTCATAGTGGGGGTTGTGGACCAGCAGCATCAGCCTGTACTGGGAACCTGCTAGAAAAACAGAATGTGGGCTGGGCATGGTGGCGCACGCCTATAATATACCAGCCAGCACTTTGGGAGGCCAAGGCAGGCGGATCACCTGAGGTCAGTAGGTAAAGACCAGCCTGGCCAACATGGCAAAACCCCGTCTTTACTAAAAATACAAAAATTAGCCAGGTGTGATATCCTGTGCCTGTAATCCCAGCTGCCCAGGAGGCTGAGGCAAGAGATCACTGGAACCCGGGAGGCAGAGGCTGCAGTGAGCTCATACTGCGCCACTGCACTCCAGCCTGGGCGAGAGAACAAGATTCTGTCTCAAAAAAAGAAAGGTAGAATGTGAAGCTTTCACCAACCATACACTGTCAGAATCTGCATAGTTTAAAAACTTATTTTGAAATAATTTTAGATGTACAGAAGGGTTACAAAAATAGTACAGCAAGTTCCTATCTACTACTGACTGAGCTTTCACATTAGATTTAGTGTTATGTCTCTGAGTCTCCTCTGATCTATGACAGTACCTCAGTCTTTTTTTTAATAAACCTTGACACTTTGAAAGAGTATTGGTTGGGTATTTTGTAAAATATCCCTCAGTTGGGGTTTGGCTGATGTTTTCTCATGGTTTAGACTGAAGTTGTCAGTTTGAGGGAGGATTACCACAAAACTGATGTGCTTTTCTCAGCATTTTAAATCAGAGGGCATGTGCCGTCTGTATGTCTTATTACTGATCACATTAACTTTGATCACTTGATTAAGGTGGTATCTACCTGGTTTCTCAACTGTAAAGTTACTGTCTTTATTTTTGTAACTAATAAACATTTAGAAGATATTTTGAGAATATGAAAATATCCTTTTTCTCCTTAAACTTTTGCCCCCTAGAAAAAAAGAAAAAAGCAATCTTTTACCCACTAGAAAAAAAAAACACAACTTTTGTCCGCTGATTTTAGCATTCATCAATGAATCATATTTCTTTCTTTTTTTTTTTTTTTTTGAGGCAATCTCACTCTGTCACCCAGACTGGAGTGCAGTGGTGCAGTCTCACCTCACTGCAACCTCTGCCTCCCAGGTTCAAGCAATGCTACTGCCTCAGCCTCCTGAGTAGCTGGGACTACAGGCGTGTGCCAGCACATCCAGATAATTTTTTTGTATTTTTAGTAGAGACAGGGTTTCACCATGTTAGCCAGGATGGTCTCAATTTCCTGACCTTGTGATCTGCCCGCCTCAGCCTCCCAAAATGCTCATTTCTAGCAGCTATTACTGTGGTGTTCTGATGGTGATTTTATATTTCCCTCAAAATGTAGATTTTTATCAAGAGCACCAGATGATTTGTAGTATGCACATTAAAGCTTGAATAGCAGTGGGCTGGATCATTGATTCCTAGATCTGGTAGATCATCAAAATCACCTGAAACATTTTTTTCTTTTAATTTCTAGATGCTGATTCAGTAGATCTGGTTTAGGACAAAGGAGTCAATAGTTTTTAAAAGTTCCTCCCACAGAGTGGGAGAATATTTTTTAGAATTTTGTATCTGAGAGTGTTCTAGAATCTAGAATATATAAAGGACTCTTACAACTGAATAACAAAAAGATCCAATTTTAAAATGTGCAAAGGATCTGGATAGACAGTTCTCCAAAGAAGATATGCAAATGACCAATAAACACATGAAAAACCGGGTGGACACGGTGGTTCACGCGTATAATCAATCCCAGCACTTTGGGAGATGGGCAGATCACAAGGTCAGGAGATCGAGACCATTCTGGCTAACACGGTGAAACCCCATCTCTACTAAAAATACAAAAAAAAAACACACATGAAAAGATGCTGAATAACAGTAGCCATTAAGGAAAACCACAGTGAGATACTACTTCATACACACTGGGGTGGCTGTAATAAAAAATACAGACAATAACAGATGCTGGAAATGATGTGGAAAAATACATTGCTCATACGTCCCACTTTATACTTTGCTTGTAGGAATGTAAAATAATACAGACACTGCAGAAAACAGTGTGGCAATTAGACGGTTAATGTATGACCCAGCAATTCTACTCTTAGACATATTCCCAAGAGAAATGTAAAGTTTTTGTGTGAACATGTTTTCAAGAATGTTCACAGCAATATTATTTATAATAGCCAAAAAGTGGAAAAAAACCCAAATATCCATCAATAAATAAATATGGTATTTTATTACTAATGTATTACTAAGCCATAAAATGGTATACATATGTATTACATATGTATTACTAAGCCATAAAATGGTATAAAGTACTGAAAACATATTAAGTGAAAGAAGACATAGAGAACCATCTTTTTATGATTCTGTTTATATGAAGGTTCAGAATAGGCAAATCCACAGAGACAAAGTACATTGGTGGTGACTGAGAGTGGCAGTATGGGAAGGGACTGCTCATGAGTATGGGGTTTCTTTTTGGAATGGTAAAGATGTTCTGGAATTAGATTGTGATGATAGCTGTACACTTTTATGAGTATACTGAAAACCACTGAACTTTACACTTTAAAATGCTGAAATTTATGGCACTTAAATTATGACTCCTTCTTTAAAAAAAGTTTCACAGGTGATTCTGAGGACTAGCCAGGTTAGGGAACTAACCCTAAACCTCTATCATAGACATATATTTGCTCTGATAATTAAACCACTAGATATCCAATAATTCCCTAAAAAGCACATCGGACCAGCTTCATGGACATGTGACCTGTGTAGTCACAAACAGCCCCATTTTTAGAAGGGCCTGCACTTGGTTTAACACTCCACTATTACCATCTTGAAGTTCTTAATAGTTTTTTTAACAGGAGGTTCTACGTTTTCATTTTACACTGGCCTCTGCAAATTATGTAGCCAGTCAGGCCTGACCTAGATGTCCTAACCTAGGAATTCTGTGATTTTTATCTTCTTTGGGGAAGGATAATGAGCCCCTATGTATTGTTAAGTTCTTTGGTATAATCTTCTTGCTTCCTGAGTGGAATTTCCTGTTTTCCCCAAATCTTTGTCATTTATAGGTTTCATGGAGATTGTTTTTGTTTTTCTCCTTTATTTTATTCCTAATGAAGAGCAATGCATGTTCAGTGGGAAAAAAAAAAAAAAAAAAGAGGGGGAGGGAAAAGGGCCCTAGCCTTGGCGACATAGCGAGACTGGAGTGCAGTGACACAATCATGGTTAGCTGAAACCTTTTTACTTTAATAAAATATAGAAATTAGTTGGGCGTGTTAGCACGCCTGTAATCCCAGCTACTAGGGAGGCTGAAGTGGGAGGATTGGTTGATACCACCAATTCAAGGTTGCAGTAAGCTGTGATCACACTACTGTACTCCAGCCTGGATAACAGAATGAGACCCTGTGTCCAAAAAATATAACAAAAAAGTTGGGGGTGGGGAATAAGAAATTAATTAAAAGACTAGGGAGCTGGGTGTGGTGCCTCATGCCTGTAATCCCAGCACTTTGGGAGGTTGAGGCAGGCAGATCACCTGAAGCATGGAGTTCGAGACCAGCCTGACCAGTATGGTGAAACCCTGTCTGTCCTAAAATTACAAAAATTAGCTGGGCTGTGGTGGCACACGCCTGTAATCCCATCCACTCAGGAGGCAGAGGCAAGAGAATTGCTTGAACTTGGGAGGCAGAGGTTGCAGTGAGCTGAGATCGCGCCACTGTACTCTAGCCTGGGCCACAGAGGGAGACCCTGTCTCAAAAGCTAAAAAAAATAAAATAGGATGGTCGCGGTGGCTAACATCTGTAATCCCAGCACTTTGGGAGGTCAAGCTAGGCAGATCACCTGAGGTCAGGAGTTCGAGACCAGCCTGGCCAACATGGTGAAATCCCGTCTCTACTAAAAATACAAAAATTAGCTGGGCCTGCT